TCTACTCTTCAACTTTTATCTTCGAGATCTAGAACAATACCTCCCTCATAATGTCAGAGCAGCTATGTACGCTGACGACCTGCAAGTTTGATTCAACTCGTAATTTGGGTCAAGATCTGTCCGCTGCCTTAGAAAGCTTATTATTAAACTGGCTGCAAACTCTGGGTATGGACATTGCACCCCAGAAAACAATTTGTTGTATCTTCTCGCGATCGAGAACCAAATTTAATGATATACAGATAAAGATAGGGAATTCAATGATCCCCTGCGAATCTACGATGAAACACTTGGGGATCCTTCTTGACCGGGAACTTTTATGGTCCCCGCATATGAGGACATTTTTGGAGAGGAGATTTCCGGGTTCTGATCCTGGACAAGCTGAGATCAACCAACTGGTATTCTCTCCAAATGAACTAGTGGTCAGAGAATTGGCTGGCTTTCTAACTCACAATCGTTATTGTATTTAAAGTAAAGCTTTCCTTAATACAGCTTGATTTCTTTCAAATCTCCCTCCTTAAACGACTTATATCAAAATTGGACTTCAAATGATTGCGAACGAAGCTGAAAATGTCTACCACCAGCACAACTGGTCTGCCCTCTGGTTCATCATATTCAATCACGCAACATGGATCTACATACATTTTCAACTACCAACTTGATTTTCTCTTTTTCTTATATTTTTAGAGTTCTGACAGTCGGCAATGCCACAAGTCATTTAAGAAGAAGAAGACTTTGACATCCCCTTAAGAATTGGTATGTTCTTGGGCCATGCGCGTGGAGCCGTACCGATAATTTCCAACGGTAGTGTATATTGATATTTAAAATAAATTCTTTTTGCATAAATTTTCTTCTGAATATGTTCCCTTTTATATAAAAAAATTTTAGTTATTATGTCATTAGAAAAAACACTTCGAAAAAAACCTTCGGTTTGACCAGACTCCCCCTTAAGCTAAACGTCTAATTCTTCTTATTGCCTGCACGTGTTAATACATTTATTTATTTATTTAAATTTGACGAAACTCGGTACTCGGGGGGTTTGTCGGGTCGCTGATTACGAATCGGAGGTCATTTTGAAAAAATTCAAAATGGCGGATCCAATATGGCGGACATAAAAAATAGAAAGTCGTTCAATTGAACTGAAACTCCGTACTCGAAGGTTCTTGGCGTCGCTGATTACGAATCATTTTGAAAAAGGTCAATTTGAAAAAATTCAAATTGGCGGAGCTAATTTTTTTGTTTTTTAAAAACTTTTTTTCGTTTCTTAATTTTTTTGCTTTTTTATTTGTTTGTAGTGTGTTTTTTTTGGCACATATTAACTATTTATATGAAATTCCAGAAAATATTTTCTCTCTTCTGAAAGGCAGAGATACTCAGCCTTCTATGGCATTGCAAAATTATCGATTTAAAATCTTAGAAACGCAAATAACGAGTAAGTATATCCGCGATTTTGGCTCCGACATTTCGAATTTTTTCAAAATGATCTTTTTCAAAATGATTCGTAATCAGCGACCCCTAAATCCTCCGAGTACCGAGTTTCAGTTCAATTAAACGACTTTTTATTTTTTATGTCCGCCATATTGGATCCGCCATTTTGAATTTTTTAAAACTAACCCCGGATTCGTAATCAGCGACCCCAGAAACCCCCGAGTACCAAGTTTCAGTCCAATTGAACGACTTTTTATTTTTTATGTCCGCCATATTAGATCCACCATATTGAATTTTTTTAAAATGACCTTTGTTTCGTAATCAGTGACCCGATAAACCCCCCGAGTACCGAGTTTCGTCAAATTTAAATGAATAAATAAATGTATGCATCTAAGTGTTAATATATGGTCCTGTTTACTGTGATAGCGGCATATTCATCAAGCTTCTAAATGAAGAAAATACTTTCAAAAAAATTTGGAAAAATTGAAAGTTTTACCTCTTATTATGTACTAAAAGAACCCAAAGATAGAGAATTTTAAATAAATTTGTATAAGCTAGAAATTTTCTTTTGTGTTTTCTAGGAAAAATTACATGTATTTTCCATTTAAAATTTCAGTCGACTAAAGGCACGTGTTAATATTGATCGATTTGCTTCAAACTTTCAGGAAAATTTTTTTTTTTATACCTTAATTAATTTTTTGGGGTGAGACCGAAGATTTGGAAACATCGCCTAAATAAGAACCACCCTAATATATATATGTAAATATGTTGTTCAAATTATAATTCTGTTTCATTTCAATTATGTTTCTTATTTTTCCTTTGCAAAAATGTTATTAATCAGTTAAGAATATTTCAACAGGAATAATACGGTGTTTGCATTTATAAAAATTTTATAAAAATAGCTCCTGCTTAATTTTTTAACGCATTATATAGTAATATATCGATAATAATAAATTTTTTTCGTGCGTAGTAATTGGATTATTAGTAGATACAGAAGTTTGTGAAAGAGTAAAAATGCATCTATTAAAGTACATGATATGAATATTCCTCGGAATATTATTACTATATTAATGTATTAAGGCAGAATAATTTATAAAGTAGGTATTTGTAATGAAAACATATCAATATATTAAGGTTAAGAAATAGAAACATTTTATGCATGCAAAAAGATGACTGTAAACTTGTATAGAAGTATTCCTGAATTGAAGGGCTACATAGAATAAGGGGACGAACGCGAGGCTTGGAAGGGATAGTACCAGTCAGGTAGCAGTGACGAGCCTTGAGCCGCTCGCTGCTACCTGACTGATATTATCCCTTTCAACCATGCGTTCGTCCCCTTATTTTATGTAGCCCTTCAATTGTCCCAACTTTTTTTGGCAAAATTTAAGATCGCTTCCAAATGCTTCTTACTTTTTTTAAAAAAGTAAACTAAACTTTTAAATTTAAAAAAAGTTTTTCATGGCTTTCAATAATATTGTTAAACAAAACAACAATCACTTTTATTTGGGGAAATAGTTTCCGGGCAACCTATTTTACATAAATTAAAAATTCCAACGGGATTCTTTTCATAAGGATTTTTTCTAGACAACAAACCTCAAAAACAATTTTTCTAAATGTTTTACCATTTTATATACACACATTTCTCAAAAAATCTAAAAAATGCTGTTTTTGTGTCAATTTACCACAGTAGAAAAAAATAGGGGGTAAAAATGTAAAATTTTAGAGGTTTCTTGTCTACTTTTTTAAATAAAGAATAGAATGGTTTTCGGATTTTTAAAATCGGTTCAGTAATTTTCAAGAAAAGTTTATCCCCGTTTTCAAAAATGTTTTTTCGAGAAAAACGTGTTTAAAGTTTTCTAAATGTATTACATTGAGTTAAAACACTGTTATAAAAATTGCTATAACTTTTTTCTTTCGCATATTTTTTCGAAAATGTTTTGGGACAGTAATTTTATGATACTAAGGAACATTTTAAATTTTAAAGAAAAAAAAAGAAAAATCGATTTTTTTAAGGTGGTTACACCCATTGTAAAGTTTACAACGGGTTTAATTGCCTTTTTCAAGAATTTTTTTCTTATAAATCATGAAACTTTTTTAAAAATACTATTTATTACTTAAAAGTACTTAGGCTTTATTATAAATAAAGTATAAAGCTTTAATTTAAAAAAGAAAATAATCTTATTTATCAATATGAGCATTGAAGTGACGCCTTCGGAAAAAACATGAATTCCAGTGACCAGCATTCCGCAAGACGAAAGATTTTAAAAATAGTATTTGACAAAATGACGACCTGTCAAAGTCTAGAGTATGATTTTCGTTAAAAAATAAATGTCGATTTTCAACTGTAGGAAAACAAGTTTTGCATTAAAAAAGAAAACCTTCGATTGGGAACTAGATAATCTTATAATAAATGTAAATCAATTTCATTTCTGCATTTCAGACAAACTGTACTTGCGGAATGCTGGTTACTGGAATTCATGTTTTTTCCGAAGGCGTCACTTCAATGGCTCATATCTCAGAAAGTTTTTGATAAAAAGTTTTTTTTAAAATTAAAGCCTTATGTATGTACTTTTAGGTAATAAATAGTATTTTTAAAAAAGTTTCATAGTTTATTAGAACAAAATTTTTGAAAAAGGCATTTTTTAACATTCAAACTGGTGTACCCCTCTTAAATCCTTGACCAGAAATTCCCTTACAAAAATGTTAAGGGGTAACATTACCCAAAGGTCATGTTTTTCAAAAGAATCTCTACAGCCGGAAGGATTTCTCCCACGGTTTCTAACCGATTTAATTCAAATTTGGACTATAGCTTTAAAACACCATTCTTTAGAGAAGTACATAAGATTTTTCAAAAATATTAATTTTTGGCAAAATAGCATGACTTTGATGACAGAAATATCATTTTTCATAAAAAGAATCACACAAGAAATAGTTATATAAAATGGAAACGTATCAACCAATTTAAAAAAATCCTATGTTCTTCTAAAGAATGGTGTTTTAAAGCTACAGTCCAAATTTGAATTAAATCCGTTAAAAACAGTGAGAGAAAACCTTTCGACCATAGAGGTTATTTTGAGAAACGTAATTTCAGTTGAACTCTAATAAAGGAGCCGTTTTGTAAAAAAAAGAAAAACAAATTTAGTTTTAAATTAAGTTTGATACATACGTTTAACGTTAAAGAAAACTCAGTTTCATTATACTGTACTATTTTTTAGAAATAATCAGTTGAAAATAGACTTAATTTTTTATGAGCTTTAGGTGATGTTACCCCTTAAATTTAAACTATTTAACTTTTTAAGACTTTTTGGGTATTTTCTCAAGTATTAAGAGGCAAATAATATTTTTTATGGTTGTTTATAACCAAAAAAAAGCTTTTGTTTGAAAAAAAATATAAAAATTATTAGGCAGGCGAATTGGACAGACGGCTTAACCAATTCGCTTTTTAGCTATTGGCGAATTGGACCGATTGTTCAATTGGCCTTTGTTATAAGTCTAATTTTATCTTGAAATTTTTCTGGGCTTGAAAATAGAAGAATTTATAATTATGAATTATTTCAAATATTATTAAAATTTACCTCATTTTTTCCTCCCGCGTCAACTCAGTCTCGTTCTGAAACAAAAGAAACAATTTTTTTTATGTCAACATAAAAATTAGGATACATTTAGTGCAAACGTTAAAAAAAGTGTGAATCAAATCCACTTTTTTAGGTGCCTATTGTAGAAGCTCCTTAAAATTTTCAAACTTAAAAAATACTTCTTTCTGGGTATCTTAGCTAATGTTATTAATATTTTAAAAATTAAAGAATGCGTAAAAAAGTGTCTATTTACAGGATAAAATTAAAAAAATGAAAATTAATAAAACTTAACATCTAATTTTTTAAAATTAAATATTTTCAGTATTTACAATTACATATTTTCGAAAATTCAAATACATAGGGGAATATAGTCAAGGTTGGCCCATCGCGATTTTTTTTAGACAAAATCACTAGCGTCACCTATGCCCATGCTTGAAGAAGCTTGTCTTAGTGACACCTAACTTTTTGTTTCATTAAATTCTTGGAGAATCGAAAGTAGTGTTTTTTGTGACCCGGTACATTAAGAAGCTCAAAAAAAATTTTGTACATCATGTGAAATAAACATATAAAAAATGGTAAAAAAACATGGAATCGTCAAGTTAAGCATGCAGAAGTATTGTGGGATTCATGATTGAAAAAAAACAAAGTGAAAAATCGAACCCTGAAACGTATCCCTTTTTGGTTAGAACAATTCGGCAATGGTACCTGCTTTTTGTCAAGGTTGGCCCACCATTTATAATATGAATTTGACAGATACTTTTTAAATTAATATACAACAAAACATTAGGACATATACACACATTTTGACATAGATATTAGAAAAATAATATTAAATCCTATAAATTTTGTTCATTATTTCATTATGTTACTTTGAACTGTTACGCGTTACTTTTTGTAACAGTAACGTATTACTTTTTTGTTTTTTGTATTTGTAACCCTTTACAAGTTGTAAACAATAAAGGATACATTTTTCGTAATGCTAAAAAAGTTATTTTATTTTTTAACGGTAATTCCCTTTGAATTTCAATTATGGGCCGACCTTGACTATAAGGGACAACCTTAACTATTTATATATATATATATATTTTGAAATCTTTATAACTTTTGTTAGAATTTAAATTTTCGTAGTTAAAATATTTTATACTTCCGGTGTTTCTAGTTTATTTTTCGGAATTTGGAAATTTAGTTTACGCGGGATTTCTTAATGGTAAGCGAGGGAAAAGTAGGTTTGATAGTCTTTGGCGGGGCAGAGCCCTTTTGGAGTGCAAAGAGTTTGGTCGTGCGTTACGGAAACCAAATCTTGCAAATTGTAATAAGCGTCGGTCGAATTGTGAATTAAATAAGTGAGAACTTTAAAGGCAGTATGCTGCGTGTTATTTTAATTATTAGTTCAAATGTTAAATAAACTTACGAGTTAATTTTTAATAAACTGTGTTTAATATTTTTAAATTCAGTGGTATAATCTCTTTGTCTCATTAAGCCCGAAACTCAGTTGCTTCCTTGATAACTAAACTAAAGTTAAAAAAATCTCTAACACTTTTTCATTTTAAAACTAATCAATTTACATTGTTCATCAAAAGTGTTCATATTACACAGGACTTTCCAACAATATACTTCAATTGGCCAAATTCATTTTTAAAAAAAAGTTATAAAGAAAAGTCAAAAGGTGGGCCGACCTTGACTATGTTTTCTTACAAAAATAATAACATTCTATAATTATTTTTAATATTTAGGAGAAAAAAATCAAGTTCAAAATTTTTAATTAAATTTCATCAAAAAAATTAATTAGTCTTTTTAAATTATACAAAAATTCTTTTAAGAAATCCAATTATTATGGAAAAATTACATTAAAATAATGTTATCATAATTTTTTTTAATTTAATTATCTTCCAACGAAGTAAATAAATAAAAATTTGTAAGAATTTATTTTTTTAAACTTATTAAAATTTCGGAGAAATAATGGTCATAATTATAATTAAACTTCTTCAAAAATTTATTTATTTATTTCAAGTATCAACGGGCTTACAAAATAAAAAACGCCCTTTCTAAATTTGATTATTTTTGTAAATATGTTTTTTGAAAATTCAATTAATTTAGAAAGATTTTACCAAATTTCAATTGTTTGGAAATTTTTCAATTGTACATGATTAATTAAATAACTTTATCTTTCAAAAATTATTTAAAAAATTAATTGTAAGAATTTCTTTATTATAATTTTTTGAAAATATTAAATTTTAATAACTTATGAAAGAACATGGACAGTTACAATTATTAAAAATTAATTTTTTGTATTCAAATAATTGAATTCTAGAAGAACTTTCAGAAAATTATTTTAAATAATTGATGTTGAAATGAAGTTTATAGTTGAAAATTGAAGAAAATAATTAAATGTAGGAAGGATTATAATTTTATAATTGTAATTTTTAGAAATTATTAAATTTCATAAATTTTATTCATTTTCCGTAAACTTTTTATATTTTCCTATAAAAAGAATTTTGTCAGGGAAAATATTTTAATGTCAGTAAGTTGTCAGGAAAATTGATAAACTGAAACTTGTGACCACCCTGGATTTTGGGTATTGACTGAATCTGGTTACTAATTTATATCTAGAAACAATTCGAATTTAGTTTACTTTATTTATTTAATTTTAATTGGATTTATTAATTCAGCCGAAAAAATTTTTTCTAAAATTCAAAATGGCGGCCATTTTTGAGGCGCCATTTTGAATTTTGTAAAAAAATTTCATTTGGGACGAAATGGGGTTAGTATACCATAATAATTAACAACTAGTTAAATAATAATAATTATTAATGGTAAATATTCATAAATTAATATTTTTATAATTCTAAAAAAAGTCAATAAACTTTTGTAAAAAAACGCGTTTTTCATTGTTTAAAATCAATAATAAACACCTTGGTTTGGTTTTTTGAAATGAATAAATCAATATTATCAAGTTTCAAGAAAATTGGTTAGGTTGATGAGAAATTATATTAAACATCTCTTAAACTCATTATAACTTATAATTTATCGATTTGTATAAGTTTTTGGTATTGACAAATACTTAAAAATTGTTTTAAAGAAATGATTGTGTAACACAATTCACATGAAAAAATAAATATTAAAAAGATTGGGTTTACTTTAGTCTTGATAAGATAATTTTAAAATACAGTTAAAAGAATGTGATACTCATTTTTTCTATTTTCTGTTAGAAAAAACATTTAATTAACAAAAAAACAAAAAATTAAAAAAAGATTTTTAAATTAAACTTTTTCGGTAAATAAAATAATTTAGAAAAGAAAAGTAAATTATTTAAATAAAATTAAAAACAAAAGAATAATTCAAAATAAAAAATACATCAATACTGTTTAAAAAAAAGAGTATTCTAATCGTTAAATATTTGTACTTATTTAAAAATAATTAAAAATCGTCCTTGATAACATTTATGAAAATATATGATGTTTAAAATTTTGATAAACTTTTGTCGAATTTAAGTGATTACCGAAAAACCCTCAATTCATATATTTATCACGAATCGGAATAAATTAATACTCTTTTGTATATTCAATCTAAATTAGGCTAATTTATTTTCCTTTACTGATAAAAAACACTTAATATTTTAGACCAATTGCGAATGAAGGAAAAAATTCTTCGATACAACGTAGTTTTAAACTAGGTAAAATTTAGAATTTTCTTAATGTGATAAAGTTGGTGAAATAATTTTTTTTTAATATACGACTATATGTATATATTATTTATTTATTCTAAATTTTGAGGTTATTTGCAAAAGAAACATTAGAATAAATGGATTATTAAAAAATAAAATTTAAAGAAAAAATAATAAAATTATTGTATATTACCTTATTGTGTATGCTATTTAAATCCATTTTAATATTTTTTAATTACTATTACTCCTGATGAATGTTCGAGTGTTAAAAAATAGGTGAATTGACACAACAGTTCTATATACATACATAACATGACATATCAATTTGTCAATGAATAAATCGATACAAGTGTGGCCACTGACAAAGGAGAATTTGTCGACTTTAATGTTAATAAGTTGGATCATTTTCCAATAGGGAGCGTCCTAACGACGTGACGTAAACAACGGAGTTATGCTCATTCCACACTTAAGTCCAACGCACAATAGATTCGTGAAATGGAAAGTCGTTCGCGAACGAGACGCATGAGATAGAAAAGGACAGAGATATATTTGTGTCATTTTCTATTTCATGTGACTCGTTCGCGAACGAGTTTCGCGAACCTATTGGGAACCGCAGAGCTGCGTAGGCCCTCTGGTGTCGACCCACTTGCGGTAGTTGTCTTTTCATTTCGTCTCTCTCTAACATATGTAAAAAAAAGAGATAAAATCCAAGATGTCGGACGCAAGTGGGTACAGGGGTGGGTCAGTTTCACATGATTTCGGATCCCAATTGTGCGTTGGACTAAAGGCCTAAGCACAATAGATCCGCGAAAGTCGTTCGCGAACGCAAAGCATGAGTTAGAAAAGGACAGAGATATATTTGTGTCCTTGTCTATCTCATGCGTCTCGTTCACGAACGACTTTCGCGAACCTATTGTGCGTTGGACTTTAGGCTGGAGTCCCATGGTAGCGTTTTGCGTTTTGTAACTAGGCTATGAGTGCAAATAGAGCAAACATAGTAGGCATAAGTTTGTCTCACTCTGCATTTTCTGTTTTTGGAAAAGTAAGAAAACGTAAAGTGAGACAAACTTATGCCTCTGCCATAGGAGAGAGAAAGATAAGACGATTTTTCCAAAAGTCGTGTGAACGTACTCTAAGGGTGCAATCCCATGTGAGCAGAATACGTCGACCGAAAGCAGAAAATCATGAGTGCAAAAGAGATAGGTAGATATTGTTGTTCTTTTCACTCTCATGATTTTCTGCTTTCGGTCGACGTATTCTGCTCACATGGGATCGCACCCTGAGGCCACAGTCCCATGGCAGCGTTTTGCGTTGCGTTGTAATAAGAGAGAATGCAGCAAACGTATATTTGCGTCTTTTTCTCTTCCATTACGACGCAACGCAAAACGCTGTCATGGGACACCACCCTGAGAGTACGTTCACACGATAAAATAAATAATAATTATCATTCATCCCAAGTGTCATATTTCGGAATCACACTCTAGCACCTCTATTGGATTCTTAACGAACTACATTTTAAAGAACATGTTTTTTGTTAAACAGGTTGGGACGTAACTTAACATTTTAATTCAACGTCCTCCTTTCTAACAGTATGCCATGGGCAAAATATCCCATTTCTATATAGTTGATGGATTGTTTCGTAAAAGAAGTAAACTTGAAAGTTACACGGAATCAATTAAAATTATTGTTGTACAGCATAATACCAATGTGTTTTATTGGTAGATTATTTCAAGAAATTGTGTGTGAATTTCTAAACTAGTTATAATATCAAATATTCAATGCATACATCTATTTTGAATGTAAATTTCACAGTGTTCACTACTGATTCTTGTCAGTTTGAGTTTACATTATAAACCTACACGTGGATACTGAATTCCAGGACCTTTAAAAGCACTTGTCTGAACTACATTTTTATCATCATCATCATCATCATCAAATCAAGTTTTATTTATTTTCGTAAAAATTCTTCTGCGGTATGTATATATAGAAGTAAATAACACTATATTTGTCTCTAAAGAAAAATTTACATAAATTGTGTTTTACTTTTTCTCGGTATAAATTTCATCTCATTTTTTTTTCGTCAATTAAATGACTTTTAATCTACATTTCCCTCTTTAATTATCATTTATTTTCTTATAAAAGTTGTGAGAAAATAAATTTCAATTTTTTTCAACTTAATTATTTCTCTGTAAATGGAACTATAGCTATATGCATATTTATCTTTCCAACTTTTATTAAATTATAATTAACTAGTCAGGTTTCCACTACCAACTGTTGATGCAATTTCTAATCCGAGAATGTGACAATATATATATAAGGTTACCAGACGTACTGTTTTCTCTAGACCTGTTTTGGAAGTGTATTCATTTCCTTTTTTTGTACAAAAAAATAAGTCTCACTTTAAATACCTATTTATTTTCACAATTTGAAGTTTAGAAAATTTTTTTTGGAATTTTAGTTGTTTATTTTTATGATTATGTCGATAAATCAAAAAGATAAGGTTCATCAATTTAATACATAATAAATAAATTACGAAACTATTTTAATTGTAATTATTTTCATCAGTTAATAATAATTACTTTAGCAGTAAATGAATAAATTTTACCTCGTTATAAATAATTTTTAGCTGTGAAATTAATTGAAAATTTAAATCATATGTATTTTAACATAAAGTGCAATATTGCACATTTTACGAGCAGTTTTATAAAAAAAAAGAAATACTATTACATAATCTTTATTTTCCGTTAGTTTGTTTGTTCAAGAAATTAATTTATGTGGGTTATTGTCATTTAAACGACAAACTTGGCGACAGTTATGTAAAAGTTTGTTATTTTGAGTATTCGTAACATTTTTTTTCTACTGATGATGTAAAAAGAATTTTAAATTCACAAAATATAGTTAAAGTCAACAACGATTTATTATAATTTCTGAACTTAAATTAAATAATTGGTTACAGGGTCAATTCATTGAATTTCATCTATAGGCACTAGTAGTTTTATTTGTTTACTATTTTTTAATTTTTTAATTTCATACACTTAACTATATGTGTTTTTTTGCCCTAAATTATTCTTTGAAAAATTTCGAATTATTTAGCGATTTTATGTTAAATTTACATGCTGAAAATCTTGATAACTTTCGCCACTATTTTCAAAATATTTTCAGGCCTCGGATATTATGACTTTTTTTTACTTTTTTCAACTTATTTTAAAAAATTGATATCTTTTCGACTTTTCTTACAAATATTGCGACTTTTTCTCCAAATATTGCAACAAAATATCACATTTTTAGTATAAATATTGCAAATTATTTCGATTTTTCTAGTGTAAAAAATAAATTATAAACAAAATTTATCAAAAATTATTTTTGAATAATTTTTCTAATTAAATTTTCGAAATATACAATTAAAGTGATTTGGAATAATTGAAATTTTGTAAAATTTAATTTTGAAAATAATTGATTTTTTGTTCAAGTATTTATTATTACAATTTTTGAAAATCAACTTTTGAAGAAATATAATTGCAAATTTTGTGAAAATAATTATTGAATTCTCAAAAAAAATTTAATGAAAAATCTTCAAATTAGAAAGAAACGAATATTTTTTTTCATTATTTTTTTTTTTTGTGTCTAACCGATACTTACTCATTTTTAAAAATGAAAATTATAATAAAAACATTCTTCTATAAACTAATATTAAATTTTTTTCTAAAAAAGAGTGCTTCTTAGAATTTTTTATCATTATAAATTTTTAAAATTAAATTATCAATATTTTCAAAAATATAATTTCGAAAATTCAAATACATAGGTACAAAAAATAATACAAATATTAAAATTTTCCACAAATTATTTTTAACATTTTTGGATAAAACAATAATTATTGTAGAAATTTTTAATTAAAATTCTTCTAAAAATTACTTAGTTTTTTTTAAATTATACAAAAATTCTTTTAATAAATTCAATTATTTTCGAAAAATTACATTAGAATATTTTTAAAAAACTAATTCTTAGAATTTTTTTAAGATTTACTTATCTTCGAACAAAGTAAATTAAATTTTCTTTAAATTCACTTCTTTAGATTCTTATTAAAATTTCGGAAAAATCATGTTTATATTTATAATTGAAATTCTTCAAAAATTTGATTATTTATATTATATTTTTCAAAAATTTGCAATTATTTTAAAAATACTTTCACAAATTTCATGTATTTTTAAACGATTTTATCAAAATTCAATTGTTTTAAAAAGTTTTATAAAATTTCAATTATTTTTAAAAGATTTTACCAAAATTCAATTCTTTGGAAATTTTCTAATTGTTTATATACCTAATTGAAAGGCAACCTATTATCTTTAAAAAATTATTTTAAAATATTTAAAAAAAATTAATTTTAAGAGTTTCTTTATTATAGTTTTTTAAAAATATTATATCTTAATAACTTTAAGAAAAACATGGGCAATAATTACAGTTACAAGGTAAAATTTTTGTTGCAACACTGAATTAAATAAACGATTTTTTTTTACTTTTTTTGTATTTTTAAAATCGACTAAAGCGACTTTTTTGTGTGTCTTAAAGTCGATCCGAGGTCTGTTATTTTAATAGAATTCGACTTTTTTCCACGTATTGGTATAAAATTATAAATTGAAAAAAACAAATGAATTATTCTAGTGGTACACGGAGAAAACTGAATATTCAAAATTAGAAATAAATAATAAACAAATAATAATAAATAATAAATGAATAATAAATAAATAATTAACCCACTAAATTAATTTCTTGAACAAACTAATTATTCTATAATACAAAATTAAGCAATTGGTATATATTATATTGAGGAAAGCTAAATGATCATGAAATAAACAACTTTTGTTATATTGTTGAGAACAATATTTATACAATATTTAGATTGCCTACCTAACAGTACATTTTGTTAGTAAATTTAAGTTTATCAATCAAATTAATTTAATCAAACTTTAGTAGATTAAAATTTTAAACTATTAAAACTTTAACTGTTAAAAAAAGCTTTAATCCATCCATAGAAGGCCGCGCCGTGAGAAAAATTCTCACGCAACACTACTCACAATCTGTAGAACGCTCTTGTAGTGTGAGTGAGACACTGTAAGAACAGCGCGACTGCTTACAGGTTAATTAATTAAAATTATGGTACAGGTTTATATTAATTATTTTATAATTAAATTAGTTTTATTTTAATTTTTTTAATACGTATTTTAAAAAAAAATTCCAACCTCTCATCTATTATAGTTAGCAATGTGCCGTTGAAATTTTCAATTGGTAACTTTTGTTTAGAAAGTTTCAAATCATGAAATTTATGATCGATGAAATTTATAAAATTTGTAAGGATTATATTTTGGTGAAATCAAGTCTCAATCATGTTTAGAAGTTGGTAGAATTTGTGCGTATTTTAAATTCATAACCTGCACAAACTTGTTATTACATAGATATATGTAATATTTATTTATTCATGTGATCCTTGAAATCTTATTTTTAAAAGACTAAATTATTTTTAAAAAATGTAATGATTTTGGTGCAATTTAATTACTATGATTATAATATAGATGTTCTTTAAGACATAAATGGTATTAAAAACTTTTTTTGTGTTTATTAAGTTCATGTGTTTAAAAAAATCTTAGTTTAATAATGCAAATAAAAAAAATTTTATGAAAATTAAAATTAAGGAATTCAATTTTTATAAAAATAAATATTTTGAATTAAAACATTTAGAATAGTACAAAAAAACGTAAAGTAAAATAAAACATAAAATAATAAATAGTAAAATAAAGAAATTTTTTCTGTCTTATTATGAAAATAATTAATTTTTTTCAAATATTTTGTTATAATTTTTGTAAATCAACTTTTGAAGAATTTTAATTGCAAATTTTGTAATTGAATTATCAAAAATCTTTAAATGTAAATTTAAAAATGGAATAATTAATGAAAATTAGCTCTTAATTTTTTTAAAATTCAATATTTTCAGTATTTTCAATTACATATTTCCGAAAATTCAAATACATACAAGAATAATAACATTTTAGAATTATTGTTAACATTTTGGAGAAAAAAATCATGTTCAAAATTTTTAATTAAAATTCCATAAAAAAATTAATTAGTTTTTTTTAAATTATACAAAAATTCTTTTAAGAAATTAATTATTTTCGAAAAGTTACATTGAAATATTTTTAAAAACTAATTCTTAAAATTGTTTCATCATAATTTTTTAATATTCAATTATTTTCGAACAAAGTAAATGAAAATTTATAAGAATATACTTTTTTAGACTTTTTAAAATTTCGGAGAAATCATGGCCATGTTTATAATTAAAATTCTTTAAAAATTTGATTATTTTTATTTATATTTTTCAAAAATTCAATTATTTTTAAAAGATTTTACCAAGTTTTAATTGCTTGGAAATATTTCAAATTTTATAATTAAAAAAAACTATTATCAAAAAGGCCAAAAAAGAAAATTTTTTTTCAAAATTTTGATTTTTTAAAATGTCAATATCTTTGGCTTTTAACGAAAATTGTTCAATGTGGGATCAAATGATGTGTCTCAAAAAGCACTACAAAAGGAAGAAATAGTATATTGTGCAACAAGTACAGAAAGAAGCTGTTTTCTGACGAGTGCAAAGTTTGCTGCTCCGAGAGAAGCGAGGGCAGTAATTTGCACAAGTTCGGAAAATCTTCTTTCGTACGTGTTGCACACAGTACTTTGTGCAACACCTGTTTACCGAAAAAAGTCATTTTTATACTTTTCTAATCAATAAATATAGTTTTATGTTGATTATAGTGTATATTATACTGTTTACAGAAAAGTGTGCAGGAAAGTACACTTTCCTGCACTTTTAAATGTGCAGAAATTGACCACTTTGTGCTGCATTTATGTTAAAGAAAAGTAGCTCTTTTCCAGCAGATGTTGCACAAAAATATTTATAGGAGGTCTCATAACATTTTTTCAAAATATT